GGGGAGACTGGGAGCATTTTATTGAAATTATTATCTTTATCTATTGCAATTCTGTTTTTGATTTCTGTGGTGTACTTTCTATCAGATGTATATATGGTTATAAAATAAAAATCCTGGATGTTCAGAAACAAATGTAGTTTGACGTATTTGGCCTTCAAAAATGTTGCTGTTGTTGTTGTAGTTGTTGCTGTTGTTGTTGTTGCTGTTGTTGTTGTTGCTGTTGTTGTTGCTGCTGCTGCTCCTGCTGCTGCTCCTGTTTGAGTGGGTAATGAGCGTTGGTCCGACGTGCCAATATCAAATTAATGGTTTGAAACTGTTTACACCCAGTAGCTGTGGCATTTCTGTATGGCTGATAGATGTACACATCACACTTGTGATATTCCTGTATAGTTGATAGATATAGATCTACATACAAATCTCACTTGTGACATTTCTATATGGTTGATGGATCTACGTACACATCAGGCGCCGTTCGTCCATAGAGCACGGTCGTGCAGTGCCGCCCAAAAGTTTTGAATATTCTATTACGTAAAGCACCCACAAACATAAAATAAAAGAAGCAAGAAACAAGCACTAGCCAAATATCATATTAAAACAAGGTCCTCGCGGGCGCCGTAACTGTCATTTCTGTGTCTATAGCGCTGTAAAACATCTACTATGCCATGCCAAAGTCCACACGCTTTAACTAAACACAATAGGATACTTCAACACTGGTAACCTGACCTATAAATCGCTCTTTGGGATAACCCAAGCGATGACGACACTCGTAGCGAGTTTGGCGGTATATTAATATTAACAAGCCGGCACATCTCAAATGTGCTCCTGCCGAATAGTGCCGATACATAGCTCACAGTAGGCAGTCTAAAAATAAACGCGATGTACGCTATTCAAAGCTGAAAGTATGTGAGTCTCGGAGAAATCCAGCGGAGTGCTCAAGTGAGTTATGATTGGTTCATCGTCTTGCCGCTATTTTAAGTGACTCTGTGATCGTGAACCTGAGGGAGATGAACGTGACATACTTAAGTCACCGTCCTATGGGTTGTGCCTTTGCATGGTTTTGTAGTGGAGTGGTGAAAGTTATTACTGCAGTGTTCAGTTCTCATGAGGAACGAATTTGATGTTTCGCTAACAAACAGATTTTAAGTTCTAGAAATCAAAGCAACAAGTAAAAAGAATGAAAATAAAAGCACGAGGTCCTCCCTCACCAAACCAAAGGTCCTAAAATTATACACCATCTCATTTACTATGCCCTTGACAATAGCTTAATTGTGGAAGCCCACTTTTAGACCCACGAGCCGCCCCTGGTACACATCCCCCCCCCCCCCCCCCCCCCCCCCCCCCCGGGAGCGGTGTCACTGACTGAAGTGTCTTTAGGCCATTTCCAAAGGGGGGACGTTAACTTGTTCTTATGCACAGTAGAATTGTAAATGGGCTGATTCAACAATGTCATTCTCATAACTGTGCCTGAACTGCAAAAGGGAACAGCTGCTATTTATTTCCTAATCCTTACTATAGTCACTTATCCTCTACTTCTTTTTTATGTTTGTCACACTCTTGTGACCCGCTATTTCCGGGGTGCCTTGATAGTCGAAGAAGACTTTGTGCTGTTGAAGCTAGAGAGGTGAGCAGAATAAGCCTGATTCCTTGTAAAGACTTCTCTGTTGACTTCCACCCATAGGCGCTCATAATATGACCTTATGCAGTTGCGAGCGCGGTAAAACCTTTACTAATACTAAAACTATACATACACATCACACGTTTGACATTTCTGAATGGCGGATAGATCTACACATCAAACTTGTGACCATTTTTATGGTTGATAGATCTACATACACATAACACTTGTTACTCTTCTATAATAATTTGGTTGATAGATCTACACATCACAATACACACCGGAGCCATCGTCTACTACTATTACTACTACTACTACTACTACTACTACTACTACTACTACTACTACTACTACTACTCCTACTACTACTACTTGGGATAATCCTTCAGTGATCTGATAAAACGCATTTTTCTCAAAATCAAGGTTTCGAGATAATCGCGA